ATGTCATCCGAGACCGTCCATTATACCTGTCTCCAACGGATCACCCCAATGCACCCCTCTGGGTGTTCGTTTCACTTCCTCCACACTCCCCGCGCATCCTCTGTCCTAGTTGACAGACAGTCCTACAAACACGTGCACTGCGGGGGGGGGGGCGCGGGCTGAAACCTGCACCTGGCCTGAACCGGCGCCTTCGGCCGCTGGAGTTGGCACGCGCGCAGGCTTTATTGCGCTGTCGATTGCTCCCCACTGCCAGATTGCAAGCCTGCTTTCTCAGGTGGGATGATAATAAAAACAGACGTGGGGCTCACACGAGATCAATGTTGTGCAGTGTGAGAAGGCGATGAGCTTTGACAAGGGTATACAAGGGGTCATATCAGAGTTCCTCCCCAAGCCGTTCGGTCGCCTATCTCGGCCACCTCTCTCCGCTGCACTGAACGCTCTCCGTTATCGCTGACTGGAGGAACCCGTCGCCGGATGGGTGGCTGCGTACCGCCGCTGCTCCGCCGTGGGTCCCTGATGAGACCGGTGGAGGCTGTATCGATTGGTCCCGGATTAATCCCTGCGACCACCGCCAGCCCCCCCTGAATGATACGGCCGTGGTTGAGACCTAATAAATTAACAACACTGGTGCCTTGTGGTGCTCTTTGAGAAAGGGATGATTACAATAAAAACATATATTAGCTTCACCATTAGCTTCACCACCTCCTTCACCACTACCTATCACGGCGTCAAGCACCACTGTCCTGTAGCTCCCTCTTCGTCACCACCCAGGCCCACGCCGCACAGTGGGCCAGGCGCATCAAAAAAGCGGAATTAAGTCGAAAATCAACTTCGGTGAAATTCCTGTAATTATGGGATAGAGTGTTGTAAAAATGTCCAAAGTTTCCGAATAAGCAAGTTTCATTTCCCCAATGTCAAGGCAGATAATGCTATAACGTCGCAAAGTAGGACTTACCGACTGGAGATGGAAATGACTGCTGTGTACCATATTCCGTTCCCCCGATTCAAAAGCTCTCAGCGTAAAATCATTAAAGTTATTCCGTACAAAATAGCTTTAAAAAAACAGCCGGTATTTCTGCGCATGTTTCTCGTACTCAAGTTCCCGGGAACTATTTCATGCTTACTAGTAGCGGTGGGGTTTACAGTGCCTGTTCGGAACCGTGGTAGTGCAACGACGCAATGAATTTATATAAGGATATAAAGAAAACGTCACCGAACAACACGAAGATATTTGCTGCCTGACTTTCCTCAAGGTGTATAGCTTGCTGCCCAATGCAAATATTTTGCGCATTTTTGCGCGAAATGGACAAATAAGGGTTTAACCCTCGCCGGCATAGGCCGTTTTGCATCCCTCGACGGCACAGGGGGATGCGACCCTCCTCGCGTTTGGCCCCTAATTGAGCTAGAGCCCCGCGGAAAAACCATCGTGTAGGTCGTCACGAGACGAAGCCAACGGTACCCGGTTTTAAGGTCATAGGTCAAATGGTGACCTCTGAGGTCAGGTCAATGGCCGAAAGTCGGGACCTGTTAGAACGTCGTATAGTGTGGCTGCTAAGGGGTTTTTCGGGATGCTGATCACGAATATCATGTTAGTTTTGATCACAGATGATGTCTTCATGCATTTAGGCCAGGCCGGGTCAGCTCAGGTCAGGTCAACCAGTATGGGTCCTGCCGGGTATTCGTAGTAGGTGTCAACCCGCCTCTGACAGCTTCGTAACATGTTACGAAGGCACCAAAACTACTTCGTAAATGTTCAAATGGTTCCTAAATTCGAATTCAGCTCCAAAAACTAGCCCAGAAACATGTAAAACTCGAAAAAGTGAACCGAGGTCATCGAAGAAGGTAAATGACCTGACCTGACCTTCAGGTGACCTTTACACCCACCCTAATGCATGGGACCAACATCATATCACATGTTTGAACGCTAGAAACCACGAAAAGACTGCAAACGCGCGGCCAATGCGGCATAGCGCCCGCCTGTCCCAGGCATATGTGCAGCGCAGAAATTAAAAAATGACGTCATAGGTCAATGACCTAGCGTAACCAATCAAATTTGGAAATGGATATCGGATTCGGCTTTAGCATGATATTTTACCCTGTAACGAATCATTTTTGGCACCGCAGCTGTGCTCATTGATTTAATTCCGCTTTTTTGAAGCGCCTGGCCCACTGTGCGCCGTTTGTCCGTCGCGGGGAACGGAAGGGGGACGCGATGTCTATTTGCCCGTCCGCCCAGGATTTGCCCGCGGCCGGGGGCGGTCCAATATCGTCTGTTTTACACGCGCTGCCGTTTGTTTTCTGTTGGCAGCTTTGCAGCCCTGTTTATCAATAGGGTTTGGCTGTGCGCGGCCCGCGGCCAGGGAGGGCAGACAGGCCCCTCTGGGGGGCAGAGCTCAGCTCCACGGGACGCCCTAATCGGGTCGACGTCTCCAGATGGATCGCTTTTGCATAAATCGATTGAGTTATTGCTTCGTTAGTAGCAAGCAATGAATAATGATCAAGTTTCAGATGATCCGTGGGCGGCGCGCGCTATTGGAAACTGAATTAAGGATGTCGCGTGGAGGTGGGGTGGTTTTAATTCTGCGTTCACAGTTGGCAGTTTGCATTTTCCGGAACAATTTGCATTGTTCGGTAATCATTGGTAGCTTATCGTGCACGGAAATAGCGACGAAATTTATCATACTAATCAGTTTTAGCACCGTGCAGGTATTCACCTAAGGGTCCCCAAACCCAACTGCTGAGGGCTGTTCAGACTTACGAGTGCCAAAGCTCACCTCATCACCCCTCCCGTCCCTCCAGTCAAGTTGATCGGTCAATCGTTAAAGCGTTAGAGAGCAATATCGAGGCAATATCTACGAACCTTATATGAAAGCAGGCAACGGGGAATCAGGATGGGCTTAAACCCTATGGTTGCAACGGACAGAAAAACCTAGAAGGATCATTTCAGTTAATCATGTCTTTCTGTTCGCATACATTCCACTCAAGCTACTTGAATTGACAATTGTGATAGCCCACTTCTAATAGAAAAACACAATTCTACCGAGAAATATTTGCTTGTTTCAAACACCCTGCGGTTATGGTTGATCATAGCACTGCGGAGTTAGCGTGAGTCCCTTGTATCGTTCGCACAATACCTCGGCGCATTTCTCTCTTCTCCACTCACTAATTAAGTTAAGCACTCCTGGTTGATGCCCATAGGACGGCACACCTACATTCATCTCATGTAGCCGAGAGACAGTAGGCCTTGTCGAGCACGCCACGATAAATCCGAGGTAATGAATAGCCGCGATCCACGCGCTGGTCAGTGGGTATCCCGTGCGCCTTATACCGTCCACGCATTAACCTTCCAGGCGGTGGGGGGGGGGCATTTTTTTGCCCCCCCTTTAGTTTTTTCGATATATCTCGAGAACCGCTGCGCCGATCGTCACCAAACTTTCAGTACCCTCCCGGGAGCAGCTAGCGCACATGGTGACCAAAAATTTTTCCAAAGGCTATGATAGGTTGGCCGCTAATGACGTCAGAGTGACGTCATTTTTGCCATTTTCGACCCAAAAAAAGGTTTCGCGGGAAGAGCTGTCAGGCCTACAGCTTTAGAGATACAGAAAAATGTTTCAGACATAAAAGGTGTGGAATTAAAAGGGCTACAAAACTGCTATTTCGGTTTTTCGAATTTTTTGGATTTTGGCCCCCAAAAATCAAAAAATAGATTTTTTGAATATAATAGCCAAAAAATCCAAAAAGTTTTTTGAATTTCGAAAAAACCGGAATATATGTAATAGCCCCTACCGCCTTCTATCTACATACCAAATTTGAGATCGATACCTCTTTTTTTGGCCAAGTTATAGCGAAAAAACTGTTCAAAATTGATGACGTCAAATTTTCAAACTCAATTTTTAGCAATTCTAGACCTCGTAGCGCAAAACAAAGAGCACCATTAGACTCCCCGTGACGAGCTGCATCGAATCGATACCCTTTTTATGCAAAAATATCAACTTTGAAATTTGACCTTTTTTGACCTGACCTTGACCTGACCTCCACCAGAAAGTGACCTAAACCGTACCTGATGGTCTTATAACCAACACCATTGAGTTGGAAATGAAAAACTGGCCATAAAACATGCATCGCGTAACCTTAGTAAAGTTGGGCTCATGTGGTGACCCTTGGTGACCTTTGGTGACCTGACCTGTGACCTGACCTGGTATGACCAGTGACCTCTAATAGCAACATATGTACTAGACAACTGACGCCTTATCGCTGATTTTCGACAAAATGCGTTTTACTCGGTGTTATAGCGCTTTCCCTAGAAGCCCCGTGAACGGTGAAACATTTTATCTTTGACCTGACCTGTGACGTCATCGGTGACCCCGAGGTCAATGAAATTTGGTTTCCCTCGACAAATTTGACAGGGCTATCGAACGCCGTTTGAATTTTCCGGATCCGTCCAGTAGTTTCGGAGATACGGGGGGGGGGGCAAAAAAGTGCCCCCCCCCCCCCACCGCGCGGAAGGTGGCTGGTAGGCCCACCGCCTGCCGGATTAATCTAACCCTCCCGTGCGCTGTGTGCCGGTGCGCGGTGTGCCTGCCTGGGCTCGTTAGTGCGCCCATAGTGCGGCATCGGACACGGGTGATCAGGTGATGCTGCCCCCGTGTCCGGCACGCGAGCTGTCCGGCCGTCCACTGCGCGCGGACAATGGACACGTTGGACACGGCCGGGTGTCCTAGTCAGAAGAATGTCTAGCGATCGAGTAGCGGTCTGATGTGATGCCTCTTGTGCGTGTGTGAGGACGGCAAAAGGGTTATGTATCATGCAGTTAGGTAGCTGTATACTGTGACGATGTGACGGTATTGTAGAGGGGTAAGCAAACCTTAGCAGGGTGGCTATAAATTGGCACAATAAAACCTTTATTTTCTAGTTACCACTGCTAATTATCACTCGACTGTTGGTGACATTTATTTCGTCATCTGTCTGTCCGTTGACAGTCTGATCTGTTTTATTTACAGTTACGTCAGGTCGTCAACAGCGTGTACATTTGCGGCTACTCAATCTCGCTCGCCGCCATCATCATCTCACTTCTCATCTTCATGTACTTCCGGTGAGTTCAGCGCCGTGCAGCGCCTTCGTCTCAATCTCCGAGCTTATACCCTGTTGGAATCAATGCGGGTCGCTTAATATGCCTGCATTTTATTTGCTACTTAAATCGAAGAAAGAGCACGAGTGATAACTTAGCAACAAAACTGTGATGCCTTAGCCAAACGCTTTTGTGCGGTGTAACCGAAAGTTTGTGTTGTCATGCGCTATAACGTTCGTTTCTCTCTCTCTCTCTCTCTCTCTCTCTCTCTCTCTCTCTCTCTCTCTCTCTCTCTCTCTCTCTCTCTCTCTCCTCTCTCTCTCTCCTCTCTCTCCTCAGGACGACTCTCAACTCAACTCGTGTCCGGATTCACATCAACCTGTTCGTGTCGTTCATGATCAACAACTTCATGTGGATCATGTGGTACGAGTTCATCGTGGATGACGTCAAACTTCTGAATGATAACACGGTGAGCATAGCTATGAACAGAGCCAAATATTGTGCCATCGAAGAGCCTTAACATACTTGCAAGCTGTAGCGCTGTTTGCTAGGATATCGTGATTGAAACGGCGTTTTTTCAAGGAGCTTGGTACTTCTCTCTTATCATAATCATAAAAAGTATAGTTATTCGATTAATTTTCAAATTGTTCTTTGGTTTTATTAATGAATTTCTCTGCTTCATATCAGCGTCGGTATTTACCACATCAAGTGTGTTCTCTATTTCCGAACGGTTTACTAACGGTATGACAATGCGCATACGACATGGACGGTATCCGACACCCGTCATATTCTCCAGTCATTTGATCAAATGCATTTCTGATATCCACCGCTAGACTCTGCATTGTGCAGACCAGGGGATGTTTTCGCCCGATCGACAATTTCCTAGAACCGCTCCGGTCGAGCCCCATTACCACCGTGGTTGTCGAGACACCAGCCACCGCTATGGTGTTGCCTGCTTTGGGGGCTTCCACGGCGACTCGGAACCGGTTGAAAGAACGTTATGCTGGGTCCACATGTTATCATCTAACCACAAATGCGTTGTTTCCGCTAGAAATTGACTTTGGATGTCCGATTAGCTACTCGTATGTTAATTGATCAAAACAAACATTTTACATAACCACGTAGCCGATTATGCTCGGACTATAGCCAGTTTGATTGAATTGAGTTTTATTGACCCGACTACCATTACCGCCACTTCAGCTTTTCGCCCGGGAAACGGTGTGAAAATAATTCATTCGAAGCCACCAAATTATTTTCCATTGTGCCGTTAATTGGCGATGGCCTCACAAATACGTCCTTCAGATGGGCTATTGATTGCCCTTCCGCAGTGGCGAACGAGGGACGTACTTGAAACAGACTAACGACCAGTGGACCTCTGCCGATGAGCGACTTTGTGCCAAGGAACTCTGCAAGCTGCAATTGTCCTTTCTCTGATTTTAAAGTGTGTTGGTGTCTTATTTGTATGTGCAAGTTCCTTGAATGGGCTTAAGAATTGGAAAAGGCTAACGATTTACTGCATCAACATCATTTTCAAAGTTTTTTTTTTGCATCAAAATTCAACTTCTCTCCAACACCCCACGTGATTCACCGTGACGGGCAAAGCATGCCCAACCCCTGCCCTGTAGGCGCTTCCCCGCTCGCGCTCATAATCAGTGCGGCTTCCATCAGTTCCTGAAGTCCCCAGTCTGTTTTCTGGTCGCGCTGTGACCGTGTTTTTGTGTCGGGAGCGCCTTTGTAGTGAAGGTGGGCGGTCGGGCGTCGGACGCCGCGTGCGTCTGATCTATTCTTACCGGCGCGCGCGACCCAATATTCGATGTCGACATGGTGCGTTTGGCCGAGGTACCCTGACGGCTGTCTCGGATTGACGGCAGACCTCACCCGGCTCGAACCGGCGCACAGACGTACCGACCCGGTCGTTTGTAACAAACATCGGCGTGCAGTATCGATCAGAAGTCAATAAAACGGAAAACCGGTCCCGAACCACCCTTGTAGAATGTGAATGTTGTGAGATCTTGCGGTAGACAGGCCGTAGATGCATACTTGATCGGATTTAAGCAATTAGTGATCTATTAAAATCGAATAACGTGAAACACGATGCAATGCTTAATTCAAAGTAAGTATTTGGAAATTAATTATTGTAGCGCTGATCCCTCGCCGTTTTCCACTGAAATTGGTGCATAGATAGAAGATTGAGGAGTTATATTATCCGTCCTTCATATGCTGCTAACTACTTAAGGCGTCTGCCCAGCGGATGGAAACTATATATTGTGCTAAAAAAAGAATTATTTGTTGTTTACCGATGATTAATATCTGCTGACTACGGAGGTCGATGGAAACCGAAAGCTATTTGGCGTGCCATTATTCTTTCAACCGTAATATTCTTGTTCGCGTATGATTTATTCCCGGATCGATCGATCTGCGACAGCGCGTATTGACAGGAATGACAAGTGCTTGACGGTCTTTGGTGCATGTATTGTAAATGCATTTGTATCACCTCAAATTTATTGCTACCGTCGTGCTGCGAATTATTTCATTTTTAGTAAGAACCGCTTTGATTTAAATTTAATGCAGAAAATACCATTATTCAAATGGTCTATCGGAAGTTCCATTGCCTTTTCATCCTAAATTCTAAAAGATACATTTGCACTCTTTTTTCGTCTGTGAATTTACTTTGCCCTCGTTGTAAACTTAGACACCTATGCCATCCATGTCGGGGTCTGTCACAGCATCGAGCAACAAGTATGTCTGCAACACTGTATACCGGTGTGTCCAAATCGGAAATTTACCCTGGGCCCTGTTCGGTCGCTGTTTTTATATCAGCGTGCTGTCGGTTTTCCCCATATAAGGAAGTTATTGCTGGCGCGGCTTGGCCTCTCATTGGTCTAACGAATAGACCACTTGAATTCTACCAATGAGGAGCCAAGAAGCAGCAGCATGGTCGCAGCCTGCTGATAAATAAACGGGGTGCGAACAGAGCTCAGGTTTGGCTGAGACCGCAATAATTCAGTTCTCCGGTATTGATATTGAGCCCGTAGTCGATCGGGAGCCGGGCCGCCCCTGTGGCAGCACCCGACCCACGTCCCAGGCCGGAAAATGTCGCCCCTGCGCCCGGCCCGGCCCGGCCCGGCCCGGCCCGGCCCGGCCCGCCAGAGCCGTCGACAGTGCAGCGGGCGGGGCACTCCAATTTGCCGCGGCCGGCCGGCTGCTCGGTGTCAGCAGCCGCCGGTTTTGTGCGGCCCCTGATTTGATTTTCACCAACACCAGCTGGCAAAGTGGCTGCCAGACTAGGGGTGCAGAGTGCCACCGAGAGGGGGGCGCGGCGAGTTCCCGCCGTGAGCGCGGATTACATATTCGTGCAGGATGTTTGGTTGACGCTATTACGCATTCCACGTGTGTTCGATGGCGCCCGATGCGCCGCACATGAATATGCCGTGCTCGGCAAGCTAAGGACTCTGTGTAAATATTTCTTTTATCGCACGTCTGTGGCCAGGGGTGATTCTCTGATGAAATTATGCCCAATGAAAACTACCCCTTTTCAGTCATGATAATTGGAAAAGAGCTGGAGCGTGCATGGCATCGAAGTGATTGTACCTATTAGAGCAATGGTGGTGCGTATACGAATGACTGCCCTTGTCGATGCGGTGTTTTGCTGATATTTGCGCTTGCGTTTCAGATCTGGTGTCGCATGATGCACATAGTAGTGCAGTACTTCATGGTGGCCAACTACTTCTGGATGTTCTGCGAAGGTAAACAACTATTGTAAATGAAATCGAAAACATATGCTTAATCAAAGAGCCTCGAATGTGTGGCAAGCATTGAGTTTGGTCTCTAAACCGTTTTACAAGGCATGACTAGTTTTACTTCCGTTTTCCTTTCTTTTGCTTCGGTTAGTTCCTGTGATGGCTTAATGAGGAGAGAGAAGGGGAAGCTAAATTATTCATTGCGGTTTTCATGCTACATTTGATCACGTAATAAGACAGGATATCCTGTTAACTTCCCTGTTTCTCATTTGGAGCTGCTCCAACCGTCGTCTGTGCCACAGCGTGCCTTGCAAACTACGCAACTTTGGGAGCCGATTTCATCCATTTTAATGCGCTTAGTCGGTCCTTCCACCGCTCTCCTATTACTGAGTCCGTCTCCTTGTTTTGGAGATGAGGCAATTCTCTGTGACCCGCTTAACACCGGAAATAAATGGTCCGCAATTCGTAACCGTAACCGAGCGTGTTTTACAACGGCCTAACTGCCCCGTTCCCATGGAGCCAAATGGAGAGCCGGAGTGCGTCAAGTTACGGCGATGCCAAGTGTTACCTCAAGGGCATTTCTCGCTCTATGGCAGCGATTAGAATACAAGTGGTGGATTTAAATAAGACTCCTTGGATTAGAAAATGACCAGGCGACTATTCCGCGGAGCGCGACGGAAGGCGTTTCACTTTTATCGTTTTTATGTGAGGATATGGAGACGGGACTTAAGCATATCGTCTCATGACTGCCGAAACGGGGCCTGATATGTAATTTAAATTTGCATGATGTTCTTGGACCATTACAACTAATTATATAGGTGAGATATAAATGCGGCACAGCCACTTGGCGCTGGGTATCACTGCGGGCCCGAAACCTTCCGCCTGGGCAGCTCATTTATGGCATCACGACGGCACTATATAGAAGGCGACTATGGCATCAAAGACAGTTCATGAGAAGTTATGACTTTGATAACGACCCATGAGAACCATGTTAAGTGCTAAAGTAGACAGCTGCAGCAGCAATTGGCAGTAATATTAGAATGATTGAATAAGTTCATTCAGAATCGTTGTGGGGAACCTGTTTGTTGTTTGTTTGGTGCTGCCCTGATATGAACAAGGTTTTGTTTGGCAGGGTGGTAAGAAAATGTTTTTGCTAGCTCCCTGATTTCGCTGATCCCAAATCACGCTATCATCACAAAAGCAAAGCTTACCGGCGACAAACCCAATCTCTACGTCTGACCTTTCAGCGACGACTTCTGCATTTGACCCCGTCCAGACTCTTCTTATTTCTGCGACTGACCCTGCTTCACAATCGCTGACCTGTACGTCCTCCTCAGGTCACCTGACTTCCGTGTCTAGCCTCTGACCTCTTTCCCCACCCTCAGGTCTTTATCCGCACACGGTGCTGGCCGTGACAAGACCTCTGACCTCTTGCCCTCTTCCCCAGGTCTTTACCTGCATACGGTGCTGGCGGTGGCGTTTGTGACCGAGGGTAAACTGATGAAGTGGCTCTACGTCATCGGCTGGATCGTTCCCGTCATCTTCACCGGAATCTACGCGGTGGTACGCGGCCTGTCGCCGAACGTGCCACCAGAGACCACCTCCTGGTGAGTGGAGGGGGGGGGGGACTGGGCCACGGCATGTTGAGTGGAACGGGGTCACTATCAAATTTCGACATACATTTGAATTAGCTGTTCATACAATTAATTTCGCACATTGCCATATGTTTTCCTGTAGTAAACTCGAGCATTTACGTGCTTTGAGCTACCTTTCCAGCGACCTACGGGCTAATCTCAAACTACGTTACGAAGTTAACGGCCATGGTCGTTAATTAATGACGTCTAAATGACTGTAGCTGTACGCTGCGCCGCTGACGAAACCCCTGATCCTGCTGACATCATATCACACGTGCGAACCCGACAATTTCGGGCGACTCTGCGACCCCGCCCGTACGGTGTATTAATGATCTCAGCCAACTGACGACACCCTACGGCCTGTGCCCCACCAATCGCACCCCACTTTGTCCCGTCGGGAGGGGCACAGACGGAGCCGCCGCCCGTCGAAGATCCCCGTCAGTGTCAGGTCATCTTCACCGGGGCCGGGTCCAAACAGTGGGGAGCGGTCAGTGGAGCAGACGGTCTCAGGGGAGCGGGCGCCGCCGGCTCTGTTGATGCTCGGACCACTGGAGTGGAACCGGGCGGTCAGGCGGCTCTGATCTCCTCTGATGAGCTAACCGACTGACTATGGCGCCGTCGGAACAGCGCAAAACATATAGGAGTCATGATGGTGGACACTGTCGCTTGCTGGTCAGGCAAATTTGGGGCGATTGCTGCTATTAATTAACAGTGATGTCAATGCTTACTTCTACATCGTTAAGGCTGGTTTCCATTTGTGATATAGTACCTGGGCTAGTCATTTTTTTCCTCTTCTACTCACGTTGTTCGAAGATTGTTTAAGCCTTCAAAAACAGCAATGTTATAATAAATGTAACGCAAAATGAAGTTGTGGGATGCATTATTATTTTCGTCTGATCTGAACTTCTCTCATGATGAGCAATGCAATGCCTCCAAGTTTGTGGCATCAAATATTCACTGATTCGTTACAGTTTCATACATTCGTACAGGCCTTCACTGATTTCTTCTCCGTTGCCTGCCATTACCAAAGACGACGAAGCTTCGCGAACAAGCGCTTTATATATCCCGTGACGTCAACTGGGGAGAATTCAGACACACGCGCTAGATGATCGCTTCGTTATCTGCTAGTTGGCTCGCTTAGCAGTCTGCAGAGAGGGAATTAATGGGGTTCGCTGCAACAGAAAAAAATACCCTCAGACCCCACCATCATCAAAGGCAGAGCATAATTACATTTCCATATATTTCGTTTTAATGATGAGCCTGATTGTCTTGGATTACTCGAGGAGGGCATCGGTTAGTTAATGCCAGGTGCGCAGTTTTGTGAGCTGATTTCCGTCGTGGGGATATTTTTCAGAGCTTCTTTTGAGGATCAGATATCTAATGATCTGAACCATATCTGAACCAAATGGTGCAGCACTGACCTACTAATAATTGCAGTGGGTTAATGGGGCTAATTCTAATGTCTCATACCCTGCATCAAAGCGCCAAATCAAGTCGAAGAACTTGCGGACGATTCGCTCTTCAGCATGGCGCAACTGCGGTTAAGTCGCTGTTTGCCTTATGACCGATTTAACAGAGCATGGGACGTCATGATGAATTTACATGTCTGTGAGGGGTTGCCAAAGCGGGTTCTAGCTATAGCAATTAACGGCTACAAATTATCTTGGTAACGATTTCATGAAAATGTGGCCTAGTTGTTTTGAAAGAGTACTGCAAATTAATTTTTTTATTGTGTTTAGCTTTTTAAAAGAGCCAACTATTTGTTTTTAGGGATTTTAAACGAGATAATTGGTTTCTGACAACCACGGAGGTGATATTTTAAAGCCCCTACGGCGTTTTTTTCGTAATTCTAGTTACTTAGTTTTCGCGTGAATGCTCTCCACCCCGCTTCGGTCAAATTAATCGACCTGTTGTGCTGAGGTCCGGGACCAGGGCCAAGGCCGTTCAACGCACTCTGTTGACGCAAAACACGTCGGCCTACACTCTCTGGATATGTCCAAGGACGCATGTATAAGTCACGTCACGAACGGAACGTAAGCGAATTGTGACGTCTTAATTGTGCGCTGTTGCACATAAACCATAGAACAAACCGCAAATTGTGCACTTTGTGCACCGCCTTCCGTAAAAGTCCCGTGCCTCCGCCGCCGGCCCACTCCCCACCCTTCACTCGCGGTGATTAAACCACATTTCGTCCGTCACCTAATGACTGATTGGACGTCATCCGTGGTGTCATCCGCACCCCTGGGGGACCGACGTCAGAGGTGATAACTCACATATCGCGTGGGACGCCGGGACGCCCACGGTGCGAGTGACGTCACTTTCTGTCAGGGACGGCTGACAAGAGGCGTGTCATATGCAGGCGTGCTCGATACCCGTGCTTCTACATATTCTAACGTTGTCCTTAGATTGGGTGGGTCTAATTAATTGAAATTGTGGCACTTATCGGTGCATGATTTGTTAAATAGGGAGTTGATATAATGTTCAACTTCCATGTATTTGTAGTACCGGGATCGAGCGAAACTTGCGTATGTGAGGACGTCTGAAAGGCAGCATATTTTGAGTCATATCGTTTACAAATACTCGTTACGAAACCAATATTTTATTGCCATGCAATCTTCATGCAATCTTGCATAGGCAGGTATTTTGGGTCAACAAAGAGAGCCGAAATAGACATTATGTAATCACGACCTTCCTTTACGGTCAGTAACAAACACAGTCGCCCAGCTTCAAAAGGTCTGTGAATGAAAGCACTCCAAGTCTCCGGCTAATATAAAAACTTCAAAGCGATGCTACCAATAACCTAAACTAACTTTGAGCAACTTTTCATTTCTTACCTCTCGTAGCGCTTTACTGGCGACGTTAAGTTTGACTTGACTTGAGCCTTTCCTACATAGATATTTAAACGTTAAGATTTTTAAATATGTCAATTTTCAGAGGAAGTTAACCAATTGCCATATATGTGTCATGCACAAGGAGCATTGAAGGATGTTCTTTGATTCTCCGACCCAATAAGTGAACTATGATCGACGACTTGTTGCCGAATCCATTTCGTCCTCCGCCGCGCCACTAGGCTAGGCGTCTCAGTCACGAGCCATCGCTCCTCACCAGTGCTCGGCCCCGGGGCCTTTCGACAGCCGACCGCGTTGCCTGCGGGCGTACCGCGCAGTCAGCTGGCTGACCCGGGTCACCTGTCGTGACGTAGGCTCGCGGAGGTCTGCGATTGGCTGAGAGGAGATCTATCGAGTCTTGTGCTGACAGATATCTTGAAAATGGAAAAGATCGTTTAGGGTAATGGGCCACATGCGTTGATTGTATGATAAATGATTTAGGGAGCTATGCGGACCTACATGTTTTCCGGGTGCAGGACGGAACGGAAGGATACCATGCTTAAAAATAGCTGAGGTACATACAGTTAATAACATCTTAGTTTTAAGGTTATTGAACTTGGCTTTTAATAAAACGGTAAGGACAATAATGGCATTGTCATTGTAGGGATTTGATTCAATTTCTTTTATTGAATGTTAAGTTTTATTGTTGTTTTTTAAACACACAGCGAAGTTTTACTTAATACTAGGAGTCATTGGTTTGAACTCATTTTTGGACCTCAAAGCAAGCCACGTTACTTCAGGTCGATCGTGTGGTATTGGCCAGCCCCGCTCTGCCCCCTTCTAACCCCCTTTCCCGTGATCGACTGGTGAACCAAATCTGTGCCGTTCCGGTCCGGCCGAGCGCTTCACGACAAAGGCTGCGGCTGGCCAGCGATCAGAGGGCGATTGTGCTGAGCGGCCGGCGGCTCGGCGCTTTTTGTCCGCGAGCGGCGTGATTGGACCGCCCCCGCCCCCGCCCAGAGCCGCCCAGACCCGCCCCGGAGCTGCGTCCGTGCCTTGTTGTGCCGAGCAGAACTTTCCATCGTTCTGGTGTAATCGGCGAACAGGGGACTGTCCCGTCCGCATCCGCGCGCGCCTCTATTCCCATCGACCAGGTCACACGACGAGCGCAGCAAATTGAGAGGTGAAGATGTCGGAAAATATGATACCAATCGAGCTGAACGGCTACTGCTTTCATCGCGGCTTTTGGAGCTGCCAAATGGGCCGTAGCTCAGCTGCAGTCCGTGCGTTTTTGCGGAGCCTATCTAGGCTGCGTTGCCTGGAGCGGCTCACACGAAGAGCGAGGTGGGATGAGATGATGATGAAGGCGGTGGGCGGCGGCAGCAGATGATGATGTGACCCCAGTGGCTGGCGAGGTAGCTACCTTGGCTGAGCCTCTTCTCATGCGACGGCTCTGTGCGGGCCGCATAGCTCCCAGTGGTCACAGCAGTTATTACAGCTCACAGTAGCTGGATAACGAGCCACATTCTGTCCGAAAAAAAAAATATATGAAATAATGGTCTGCATACAACCGGCCGTCATTCGTTGTACTTACGTGAATGATGCGGGGTCTATTCGCCCGAGACCCGCAGTCATCAAATCAGAGCATCCGTCAGGATTGTGCGGCGGAACGCATGGAAATAGCGGAATCCGTGGGATGATGGAGATCGAGGACAACTGCGGACCTACGGCAGCGTCTCTGACGTCTCTGGAAGCGGCAGAGGCGACAGCAGCTGTTCTGTAGGGGTCAGCATGGCACAGGGAAGCGGTGGGAGCCCCTCGGGAGCTGCAGAGCTTGCTGCAATGTTTCGGTTGGCCGGGCCAGGTAGACGGCATTCCGAGCCAATCGCCGTCAGCCATCAGCTGCAGGCGATCGCTGCCAAAGCATGCAGTCGAACCGTGAAAATGGCGACGAAAAGCTGCCAGACAATTTTGGAAACAAACAGCGCGCTGATGTGCTGTTGGAAGTGGAAGTGGTCTGCTCAACATGTTTTTTTTTGTCAATTGCTTGTACTCTTGAAGGCAAAGAGAAAAACATGGATGAAGTTCCTTGCTGCATTGAAGTCTCAACTATCAGCGATAGCACTGGTCCAAAATTCGGCCAGTCAAAGCATTTTATCACACTGCACCTTTGGCCTCACTATAAGTATACCTTATTGTAGTGTTCTTTCTCCGAATTGGTCCCTTTCTCTTCTAACGCCTCAGTCTTCGGTTTTCATGCTTTATATCGTCACCTTCACTTGTGTAACTACAAAATAAATTTGATTGCAGCTTGCAGCATTTGTTTACGATTCTAGTAATTGACGAACTTCCTAGATTTCCCACCTCAAGTCATTGTCTATTGACCATTGCCCATATCATTGCCGAAAATGTTTGAAACGCCGAAGTTCCAACTTCAAAATCAGCCGATGAATAAGTCAAGCCCGTGTTTTATTGAAGCACCTATGCGCAATCATAAGGACAAAGGCGCACTTCAGCCCGTGATATTGCCTATATATGCCCAGTCTCCTTCCATACTCCACTCCTCCTATTATGTCATCGATTGTGTCATCATCTCTTCCGTCGGGCCGGCATATTTCGCCGAGCGGCGAGGGAGGTTTCCAATATCACAAGGGCGTGATGAAAACGAAACGTTTCTGAAGACCCTCGCACTTTCCACTTTCGTCGCCTGGCGAGAAGCGGTGACGTCTTCACAAAGACTGGACGGGGAGATTGTGAAAATTCCGACAGTATTGGGTAGATAATCCAAAATTAAACATTCCTGAGATGAGTGAAAAGAAAATGGAAAAGTAATTACTCGCAATAGGTATTGTCAAAGCGCGAGATGGACGGTTGATGTGAATTTACGTTTCATGTTACATATGCGAGAGCAATAATCTTTGTTGTTGTTTTTCAAAAAGAAGAGAGAAAATAACACGAAAGAAATTTAAAAATGGCAGCACAGCGTCACCGAACTAATGAGAAGCTCACATCTGTTATCGTATGTGGTCGCCGCTTCCCACAAGTCTTTTCTTCCTCGCGTCCCCTCTTTCTTTCCCGTGCTTCATTTAACCGCCGCCTTCCGTTGTTCCTTTCTTAACCACCGCCCTCTGCTGTTTGACTTTTAACGGACGCCTTTCGCCGTTCCTTTTTTAACCACTGCTTTCCCTCCGTTCCCCTTTTAACCACCGCCTCCCTCCGTTCCTCCGCAGGTGCTGGATGGAGGAGGCCTACACCTGGCTGCTCTCTGCGCCCGTCTGTACCTCCATGTTGGCCAACTTCGTGTTCCTGGTCCGCATCGTTTGGATCCTGGTCAGAAAGCTGCGCGCCGCCCCAGGTGAGTGACCTCGCAGAGGTCAGTGACCTCCGGTCAGCATCAGTGACCTCGGCTGGGTCGACTGTGTGCGCCGGTCGATTGGCTCGCCTTCAGCGTCGTCAGGTGGCTGGCGGATTGCGTCAGTACATTTAGCGTCCATGCTGGGTGATGTCAGTGTCGAATTTAATATCATCAAGCGGCTACAAGTCGGCCTTACAGCCGGTGTAAATTACGCCGGCCGCGGCGCGATAGTGCTCCTCTGAGCAAGTGTCGGTGGGCATTCACCGGCCGAGAGCGCGCGCTGAAATAGGGCTGTATAAACAGCTCAATGTTGCGCCAACAGCAACAGTCCGTCTCGGCGGCAAGATGCTATCTGCGCGGCGTTAGCGGCTGGTTTATGTGTTTGGCCTGCCGCGGTCAGAGAATGAACGGGACCAACACGCATGCAGGGGCGCGCCCGCAGAAAGAAATGTGTTTTAGCGTAGATGGAAATGGGAAGAAGGCAGAAAACAGAAAATTAACCGATTGTTTTGACAACACAAGGCCCCGAACCTGAGCAATCGTTCAAACGGCGCATGGTGCCGACGCCTCACAAAAATATTACGCCATCTCTGGGAAATGCGGAGTCCCTCCGTTTGAGCATATGGAGTTAATTGCAATGATGACTTTTCGTCCCAGCAAATTGCATTACATGTTGAAATTGGTACTCAAGTCAATGTCTCCAAAGTGCATCACTGATCGCTACACTTGGTTTAAACTAACTTATTCGTTGTTTATTTGTAGTCGTTTCTCTTTGTAAAATCCCCTTTGAATATTATTTCGTACACAAAGCCAGCATTATTTCAACTACATGAAGTTGTGCTTTCACGACGCAGAGCGAGGTGGGGACAGGGGAGTGAAGACTCGACCAAACTTTTTCCGTGGCGGATCAACGCACCGGTGTTGTTGAGTTCACACAAACTAGGGTGACAGCGGCCCGAAGCTGGCGACACGCATTTAGGCCAGATCTCGCACCAACTTGTGTCCAACTTCCCGGACGCTGTTGTTCCGTGTGGACACGCAATCTGCGCGTCGGAACGAAGAAAGACCCTGTCCTTGTTCACGGTGTCTCGCGCCTACCGCTTTCTTTCCTCAGTCCCGTCCCCGTCTTCGTTTGTTCTCTTTCTATTCCCGTTCCCTTCCCAGCATATTACCTGCGTCCAGCTAGAGTCTCATTTTTATTTTGTAGCTCTCATCCTGCGCCTTTCTTTTTCTCAATTCGTCGTCGCCTTCTTTTAGTTCACTCAGCGCTGCTTCCCGTTTAATTTAGCCCGACACCCGCATGTTTGTCGTGTCACTCCGATCCGTCCCTCTGTCTCCAGGCAATGAGGAACACAACAACTCGTGGCGGGCTGTGCGCGCCACTCTGATCCTGATTCCGCTGCTCGGCCTGAACTACATGCTGGCACCGTTCAGACCGGAGCCAGGCGCTCCCGGGGAGAACGTCTACCAGATCCTGAACGCCGTCACCACGTCGGCCCAGGTGAGTTACGGGCAGGGAGGCCAGTGGACTCGGGTGGTCCTGGTCGGTACCGATCGGCCCCTGATGGTCCCAATCGGTCCCTGATGGTCCCAGGCAGTTCATGATGGCCCCACCCAGTCCAGTGTTGGAATTGTCAATGTCATTTTTAGTCTTTATCACGGAGAGTAAAATCTGGGCCCGGCCGGAGAAGCGGACAACTTTTAAAACACCATACAGACACCTCATGTCGGTTGGTATCATCGGTACGTACTACGTACAAAAAGAAAAGAAAAGAACGCGTTGGACTGAGCCGTGGCGTTTTAACAGTCCAGAGCGGCTCACCTTTGCTGCCGTTATTGAAGACTTGACGAGGCTGACGCTGACGTCAATGTCTCAGAATACTCACCTGGCTGGTAAAGGCGATTGACGATCGTATATCGGGTTTCGCACCTGCTGAGGTCTGCTTGGAAAAAGCGAACAGAGCCACACTCAGCGCATTTGTTCTGGCATTCAGTGCACTCAGCAAATGACTTGAACCCATGTGAAGAAAAGCTCTTTTAAACAGACTAATTAGCCTTCCCAAGCTCTCGCGTTAAACGTGTCTAACTTGTTCAGTTCCTTAGTAGCATTACCATCAACAAAAACAGGCGGTACTCCACTCCAGAAGTTTTGAGACTGGCCTCGTAAAATCCATATGAACAGTGCTAGATACTTGTTGTTCTCAAAAGTCCTTACCACAGTTGTTATAAACGTACTTGCGTAATTTTGTTTTTCTACGTTGCAAAAGACGGCAACGGCGTCACCCTGAACATGGCAAGTCGCACGCGGCTTGTCACAGTGACCAGTGTAGAGCACAGTCAGGTTGTTTGTACAGACAACTTGGAGGGTCGCTGTGCAATAAAATTTTGGGATTAGCTTGGCAAAAATGCCCGAGAAGCTCTTGCACCAGGACAGCGCACACACCCACAAGTCCACCATGGAGACGAACTATCTGACACAGATGTGCGTCAAAACCGTCCGTATCCCTTCCCACAGTCCTGATCTGGCCCCCTGGCTTCTGGATGTTCCCCAGACTGACAGGGAAGCTCAGGGGCCGTCTTTCGGAGGATGTGGAGGAGATGAGTGAGGCTGTGACAGAGGCCCTGGGCACCTTCACTTTGAAGGCCTATCAGCAGGCCTTCAGGCAGTGACAGGAGCGCTACAGCAGGTGCATTGGACTCGGGAAGTTCCATTTCGAGAGTCATACAAGTTTCATGCTTCTCTGAAACAGACAACTGTCTCTACTGAAAAAGTCTCAAAACTTCTGGAGTGCACGTACATCTTGACTATGCTTGATAGGATGCAATAGCCGTTCAAACAGTCACCATGTAGTTGGCACTCCCTCTGAGGAGCAACCAATCATCTCATAGTATCCACAATGCCACATCCGACCTCAAAACTCTGATCTGATCAGCCGACACGGCAAATGTCAGCGAACAAGCGGTGACCCCAATTTACATCACTAACACACTGCCGACCACGGCTTCAATTTGCATCACTGACACAGGGCAGAAGGTTACGATTCCCGACGGAGGCATTCCGCACCGCCATACGCGCCGAATCCCACCAAGCATGCATAGGGAACGGCGCCGGCCGAAATTGAGCCGGATCAAGTCTTTACGGAGGTCGGCGGGCCACTGTCGACGTACCGAGGGGGGTCCATCGCGTCCGGGGGCCGGATGGCCGCAATTCGGTCTCCGCGCCGTACAGGTCTCCCGTGGGTCTCCTGGCGCGGCCGCCGGGAGACGTGGAGACGCCGAGTTAGGCGATATGGAGCCGTGCGAGGGGTGTCACGAACCTTTAAAGTTTCCTTATTTACCTTTTATGTGTTGTTGTGGATGGCCCGTGACCGGTTGTATTGATCAGTCGGCATACGGACAGGTATAAGAAGCTTGAAATGTATTTTCGAGGGAATAGGTATTTGGACATTACTAACGTATTTCATTGAACGTTATCATCATGGATCATCCCTTGTAATAGGCAAAGTGTATCGCATAAAAGTAATAAGTACGCAGCTAAGAATAAAACAAAAATGGCATCGGGACATGTATCCCCGTACCATGCCAATATTCCAGCGAGCTAAGGCTCGGCTCTCTGACGTCTACTAGGCTGGACTCTTCCTCAGACAAACTGTCTTATGCAACAAGTGCGCCTCTCTCCGACTATCAGGGAGGGGAGGGGGAAGGGGAGCGGCCGGCCGGCCGATATTGGAATAGTTGGCGACCAACTTATCCGGAGCTCAGGAGCCACTGAAGCCTCATTGTTTCCACGATTGGACCAGATTCGATATAGCATTCGATATCGGCCATGCCAACAGCACCGTAGCAGCTTAAGCACTGCTATTGTTAACCTATTGCTGCCGACTTATTGTTGTGCTATTTGTTGCCAGCCAGTGATCTGCCATAACCATGTCCACTGATGCTCTTCATGACTTGCGGTTAGCTTTGATGCCTAATTGTATGAGCGGATTCCATATTTTGATTGACATACCCGACACACCCTAAGTTAGTCTGTTGGTTGCACAATTCAAGAATAAGTACATGTAGTAAGAAGCCTTCCACTTTTCTCCTAAGTCAAATAAAAGTCTTGTGAGCCGTCCGTGCTCGATAGTAGTTCCCAGCTAACCTTGTGTCATGTTGGTGTAATTATTCAGTTAGGGGTTCTGCCCTTACTCATCCCTGATATTTGTTGCACTGATGTTCCAGTACGGTCTGACGCGGCACAGCTGACACTGATGTCCGACACAGCTGCTCGCAATATAGCCACTCGTTCATCAAAGTACCAAGCGAGCACTAAATCTCCACTTTTATGCAGCACAAGGCCTGAATTAGCCACGCTGCCTGGTTACAGCTGAACAATTGTGCTATAAGATGTTGGCTATTGGGTTTTGTTAAAGTCGACACCTGAGCGCGCATGATAAATCAAGCTGATGTGGGATTCAGTGAGAGTGTTGGCGCAGTCAGATGTACTCAACTGACCAGAAGCGCTCTCACAAAAGGCACCAAAGGTTCACGGCTGTTTCTGATCCTTGACGAGCATCTCTCTCAGCGCGGGTGGAAGCATCTAACGCTGCCACTTGGTTGATCGACGGTCTCTAAGGCTGAGACGAGCCCCGTAATACAATTCCTGGACGTATCTTTGGAGGTATCGGTATCCTACTTGGGTTATTTTTGCTCTTTACCTGGAATAGTGCTCTTTGATGCTTCTTTTACCTTATTCCTGTTGAATAATCATGAAGCTTCATTACTTGGGCGAACAATTATCATGTAGCAGTCCCATAGCCGTCAGCATCGAGAAAACCAAACGGCGTAATTCAGTGTCTGAAATCGTCGCGTGAATAGACGTTCTGTGGCCCAAGAACCTACTCGAAACGGTTCAGCACGTAGTTATGCCCGGGTGGGGTGGTGCAAGCCGATTTTAGCAGCTCGGCTGACATGTCAGAGCACATTTCACGGACCAGTGTCACGGAGTTGGGACAAAGTGTGTCGTGTCTCCATAAAAGGGCGATCAGTCACGCTGTCTCAACTGAAGCTGGGGTGACCAGACTGTGATTCTTCGCTCGCTACGATAGGGCTTACCACTCTCCGAAATGACATCATCAATCGCGGATCAATCTTGGTAGATAGGGTATGCCAACGTTCAGAACTATGATGTAAAAAATGCAATATCTATAAGTGCATGGCTTATGCACTATGCAGTCATGCTCAGCTCATGTCAGACTACAGCATGTAGCCGTCAACATCGGCAAGTATGCTACATATCCTACCTTGTCATTCAGAGTCGTAAATAGCAATGGCAATTCGCATTTTGATTGGTTATTGCTATTTGATGAGAAATACCCAAAATATTTGTAGCAAAGCAGACACCGGTTTGTGAAAAGTCGATATGTTATCTTTGCTCTGTGGCATGCGCAGGTCTGCCAACCTTATCGGACTTTGGTATCATGATGAGCGGTGCGTTAAACTGTGTTTTGTCATACGCCTGGAAACATGACATAGGATTTCCGGATAATTATTAGGAGGAAAAAAAAACATCACTGAGAGGTGTCCAGACGGGCGTGACGCGGCCCCGGTCGTGTTAGCTCGCACGAGCGGCTGCGGCAGTGCGGTGGCGTGATCTAATTTGGCCGGCGCTCCCTGGTGTGCGGGACACCGTTATATCTCTGCTCCGCCAACACTCCGAGCTGCCGCTAATTGGTCACTGATTGGTGACATATTTCATGAGCGGCAGAGCGGGGACGGAGGTGAGCGAGGGAGGGGGCCAGGCTCGCCCGCGCCGCGCACCGGCACTGGCAATAATGGCTGCCGCGATGGATGGCGCGCGCGGCGGCGATGTGGCCGCGTCTGCGGCAGACGCGGCGAGCTGATCGATGTGCGGCGCCGTGCAAAAGTCGGCAGCGGGACAGCGGAGCGGCGACCGGGCCGTCGGCCGCGTCAAACGCCTGGTTAGGAGGTCGGCCGTGCTGCCGGCGAGCTGCCGAGCGCCGGAGGAGCGGGTCCGGAGTAAAAAGGATGAGAAATGGTGCGGCGCGAGTCCGAGGCGGTCCTGAAATGACCGGCACAGAACTGCAGCTCAATGAACGGACCGCCGACCCGCCTGATGGAGCTTTTTGTTGTCGGCTGGAAAGAGAGCAGTTCTGGTAGAATGGGCCGCCGCAGCGGTATTGCAAGTAGAGACGAGCTTCACAACGATGTTATACCTCATATTCCAGTTCATCGCGGTATTATATTGTTGATGCGTTGACATATCTAATGCGTACGCATGGGATGCCAATGTCCATAAGTGCAGCTGGGGGTTGCTGCTTACTAGTATTTCGATAATCCGGTGTGTAAGATGAGCCGTTGTTGCAATATCACCGGTCATCAAACGACAACCGTTGTTGCATAAGTCTCGCTATTATCAGTGGCTAAAGTAGACGGACACCTGAACAACAGATAAATCATTTCCAAACTGTTCTCGATTTTCTGAAGGAAATGCTATCTGTACCAAACGACTATTCGTCCTCCCTAGCTTTCACTTACCTGCACCGTATGATTGACTTGATTGCAGTTTTGTTAACGTTTACCGTCATTGAGGTGGCGTGGTGTACGGTAGATATTAACCCAGCGTTTAGGAATATTTGTCTGTAATTTGATTGTTTCGTCTCGTTTTCAGGGATTCTGCGTGGCCCTGCTCTTCTGCTTCATGAATGGAGAGGTAAGTCATGACGACGACCTGCAGTGTGTTACCACTATACAAGCGAAGTTGATTGTTTCTATCGCATATTACTCTGAGCTGCATGTACAGATGCTGTCGTTCTTGTCCTGTTTCGCTTTCCCGAACATCTTCTGATCCGTGTTGGATCAGCCCCGATTCCGTTCCATTTCCACTCCGGTCCTATTCCGTCTCCCCTCTCCATTTCCGTACTTCATTCACCTTTCATTCCTCTCCACACAGCTAGGTAACGTCACCGGCCTAGCTTCTCCTTGTTGTTAATTGTCTCACCTCTATCAACGTTTGCCCTCTAAAAAGCACGTCGTCTCCGCCATCTAGGCACCCCTTTAGGGAGGCCTGATCAAGCCTGCGTGCTGTCAGTTGTTATAAATCCACTTAGGTGCCCACGCAGCTCCTCTTACCCGAACAGTTCGCGCGCATTAGTGGCTGATTAGTCGGTGGAAATCCCGCATTAATTCGGCTAAATGTAGGAGAATTCGAGCGCCCCGACGATTCGGAGTGAATCAGAATTTATTTAGTTACTTCTGCGGAGGGAACTTCCAAATGAAACCGAAATTCTTTGAACTTTTGGCACTTTTTGACACTTTTTCAGATATTTAACAGCAGTATTTTTAGTGGCTAATTTTGCGACTTTTCTTGTGAGTGATCTTTCTTTCAGATATGTGTTAAATGAAGCAAGTAATGTAATTTTAATCACCCTTATTTGCGATTAATTCATTGGTAACTTTAATGTGAACGGTACATGAACATTACATGACGAGACCCTTAACCCTCGCCGGACCTATTGGTTTTCTACATACGCGCCGGCCGAGGGGGGATACGACCCCCCCTCGCGGTTTCGCCCCTGGTGGAGCTAGCGCGTCGCGGAAAAAACGAGCGTGTGCGCCGTTACGAGACGCAGAGATTGGTACCCGATTTTAAGGTCCTAGGTCAACCGGTGACCTCTGAGGTCAGGTCAAGTGCCCCAAGGTACGGTTCAGTTTTTGGTGAATAACTTCGCAAAAAACGGCCGCAGAGCCGCGATTTTGGCAGCATCGTGTTCGCCTCGCTCAGGCGCGTCGAATGATATACTTTTTGTCCGGCTCAGGTCAACTTGGGGTGCTGACCTCAGGTCAAGGTCAGGTCAGCACCCCCAGGTCACGAAGTTGGTCGAAAGAGGTCATGTCGCATGTCATTCGATTCGGCAGGTCTTCCTGAGTCCATTGGTGGCTTTCCCGACTCGCTAGCTCAATTTAATCAAGAGTTATTGACGAAAAACTAATATGACCTTGATGACGTCATAAATGACGTCACGCAAGGTCAACATTGCAAAAGTGACGCATATAACCTTGCAAGGAGTGCATCAAATCACGATTATGTGTGCTTGAGATAGTTGGAGATCGTTCCCGGCGCCAGAATAGCAGTTTTCATTTTTCCCCATTGACTTATAATGGTGAGGTCACGAAAATGACCTGACCTCATATGACCTTTAGGAAAAATCCGAGATATACAAGTTGTGACACTCATAATGGATACTACTAGATCCTGCAAGTTTCATTTCCCTGTGACATCTCCTCTGGCAGTGAGGGCGTTGCGAAGTTGCGACATCTGAAGACCGTGCAGAGGTTCACTTATGACGTCATAGGTCAGTGACCTGACCTGACCCAAAAATGCGGTTGGTGTCAAAAGATCCGGCTTGAATCAAAGGTCAGGTATGCCAAGTTTCAGCTCTCTATCGCCAGCGTGTTCGGAGCTATCGCGAAAAAACCCTATGGGGGGGGGCGGCACCCGCCCCCCCCTCGGCCGGCGAGGGTTAAATCTAATTAATAATTTTTGGATGAAGAATATGCTTAGACTTCAAAGGATGCGTTGTGTTTTTAAAGTAGTACAAATTAATCGCCCCCCCCCCCGGCCCCCTCCGCCAAGAGAAAATAAGTGATTTGCACACAATCTTTAGCTTTTCTGCCGCAGCTTCTTCTGACCACGATCGCTTTGATAGCGACTACAACAACGCGTGCACTGGAAAGCAGAATATCTCAAAAGATGGACTTAATTTGCATGTCCTTTTGTACACATGATAGTGACCTTGTCTTCAGTGTCGTGACGCTCCGTATAATCTTTGTTTACATTGCATAAAATATGTAAATGTGTGGGATCAAGTGTGCCACTCACCAGAAAGGCACTAAAGCCAAGTGGGTACATCCTTTAGATTGTTGTCGCTGCCCCGCCCAAAGCTGATACGTGCTTACGCATAAAATGTGCCTGTTAAAGTTGCTGTCAAGCCACAAACACTTTTGGTTAATATTTTCAGCCAAGCTCGTTTGAGTTTGCCTAGGTTGTCATGTTTGTATCATGTATGTAAATGGTTCTCACAATAACAAATTGTTAAAATTCTAGGACGCAATTAGGTATTAGTTACTAATTGACCTCAAAGGCTCAAAGTGCAAAAAATTAGCATTACTGCCATTTTCGGCAACTGACACACCCATGCAGTTCACGATACGCTGACGTAACCGTGATTTGTGACCGTGATTCACCCCGTGCCGTGAAGCTGGCGCTCTATGGAGCACGTCCTCTCCGTGACGCGGACTGACGGCGGCGCGCTGTGCCGTGACGGGATCGTCCGTTTCCGTGACGTGACACGTCTATTTCCGTGACGTCCCGGGTCGAGAGACGGCGCGGCCCTGTTCATCACGCACGGGGAATCGATGTCGAGCGATGGTGCTCTCCGTGGGGAGTGCAGTGTCTCGTCCGTGGCTCTATTTTGGGAGCGCGACACACACCAGCGACGGCGCATACCGTTGGCCCATGCTGTATGTGAACGGTTATGGTGGGTGGGCTGCTATTTCAGCTACAGTGGAATAGTAGCGAAATAACGCTGCAAAATGCAGTGCATGATGAGAGATACTGTACAGTCTGTATTCGTGACATGCTGCAGGAGGCCACGCATCGTTTTATTTGAATTTAAACTCAACTTTTTAAACAGTTTTGTCCGTTCCGCAGGTTCTGCAGCAGTTCAAAAAGAAATGGCAGCAGTCGCGCATTATGAAGGGAAAGCCCACCAACTCCTACGCCTTTACGACTATGAGCGTGAGTAGACGAACCCCGGACAAATCCCGGTGAGGCTTGTGTGCCGTCTCCCACGCACCTGTCCCGTCTCTCACGCTGTGTGCTGTCTGTCACTCTGGTGTGGTGGGGAGCCTCCCTGTGTATAATACGGGACGTGTGACGTGTGTGCCCAACTTGCACAGCACGAGTGGCCGCTAACCCTAACCAGCGAGCGTGGAGTGAGGCGGGACGTTTTGGCAAGGATGTCAAAGCCGCTCCGTATGTTTGCAGGAACATAATGGCAAATTAGTCTGCAGCAAACACAAGGTCAGGCTCGCTCGGTCGTCCCAGTTGACCGGACTGTTTTGGTGATTGCTTTCGTGTGGTTCGGTGCATTGCGCACAGCGAGGTAGCTTTTGCACTTGTAGTGAGTTCAGTGCATGTCAGGGTCGGCATGAAAAAGATAGGATCTTTTAGAAATCCTCAATGAAAACAATTTTATCACGTTTTGATCAGATACTAGCTAGCTAGTCAGCAGGAGAAAAAATGAATGACCGGGATTTGTTTAGAAGAATAATTTTCCCCTAGGTGTAAGCGCCAACAAGTATTTAGTGCACTGGCTAGATGGACTCGGCACTGAGTATTGTAGCGTATTTTCTAAGTATTTTCAGCAGCATGGTGCTGAGGGCGGGCACTCATTGGGCGTATCCGAGGAGTTGGCGTGTGAGCTCGTGTCTGCAGACTATACCCTGAAATGCTTCTTATTAAATTGCAGTTTACATAATGCCTCCGAATAACTAGCCACTAAAAGCATGGACATTGGACATTCCACACGAATACTTGCCTGGCGCTATTTCACGAACACATCGGAATGAGTTCTTGAAAATGTTAGCCATGAAAAGAATCATTGCATTGCTAAACATTGCATACATCCGTGTACCCTTGACAATATTCCCAGAATGCATTATAAGTTATAACGCTCTACTTTGAACGTTTCCTTTGGCAGAACGTTACTGGATATTACTCGCACAACATGCTTAGCGAAAACAGATTCTTTGCAGCCTTTTCGCGTTTGATGAAACAAGATTTTCAGAGCCGCGAGGATGATTTCTTAGCTTATATAATATTGTAGGCAATTTGATATTACCTTAAGCATTGTATTATTACCTACAGAAGCGCTCAGCTATTGTTTTATCAGTAATTTTACAAAAGCCGTTGAACTTATCGCAAACTGCTTGCATTTGTATGAGCATACCATGTATCATACATACTGCCAGAATGCATTACTTTGTCACTACAGCGAAAGTGTTGCCAGTTCAGCGGGTTGGAGGCGTGTGACAGCGGACCAGAAGCACTGAGGCCCTTTGATGTGACACATTCTATACTGTCGCTAAGAGTTTGGATCAAAGGTGGCGTCGAGAAATAAACTTATTCTGAGATCTTACTGAGAATACCGACAGGTGTTGCGGGGGAAGGGGGAGTGGTAGTTTCAATTTACGGCACGCACCGACTGCTTTGTGGCTTCCTTCGTTTGGAGCTTTATTTTTAAGCCTCATTCTATATGATTGCTTTCTTGTCTGATTGCTTTCTTGCAATATGAAAATCCCTTTTTAGGTGCTTTTAACTGATTTAGCTGGCTTAAGAAAAGCTGTGGCCATGAAACATTTTACTGTACCTAAACACCGCTGTGATCGCAAGATTGGCGAATATCTCCTTACCTCGCTCCATGATATCGGCTTGGTAAGCGCGCACTTTTTCATGCCCCATGTTTTCCCTCTATCATCGTTCGCACATAGGTTCTCATTTTCACAGCCCGCAATAGGCTGCAGTTGTTTCGGAAACTGGAGTGGCCCTTCCCCGAGCCCTAGACCTCTCCACTACCAAGGTCACTAGCCGTGTTTACGCTTGGTGTGCCAGTCCGTCCCTCTCCCGGGACATTAACCGTCGGCGGATGCTCTGAGAAGATCAGCAGCAGTAAATATTCCTTACGCAGCTCGCCGAAGGGGCTTAGCGCGGTAATTATTGATAATGCTTTCATCGATGCGGCTGTTAATAATGGCCGTGGCGGTGGATCGTAAAGAATCTATGTCAGAGTGGAAATGCTGCTAAATAATTTACCTACAGAAAATTATTTGGAGGTAAAGGGGCTCAGCCTCAAAGAAGAGCATATTAATGTTCATCAAATGGTAAGAAGATGAAAAAGATGGTAAGACGACACTCAGCCGCGTGAGAATATGCGTGTGTGACTCATTACCAAATATAGTTCACCCATGCGTGAATGCTGTTAGACTAGGCTGCTCTGAAGAAAGCATGCTTCTCAACCGCATTTATCGTTTGCACCACTGATAAATGATAATCTTGGAAGACAAAATGATTATCGATGAACTACCTATGACATGTTCCATGATAATTGCATCTTAGCACACCTCATTTTGCGAACCTCAGCACACCTCATCGTAGCCTGCGAACACGTTCAGTACCTGCATGAATTCTACCTCTGGAGAAGTACAAGTCAGTGCTGCCGAGGCTGTGACCTTTCCGCCAGCCCTTTGACCTGCACTCAATGCACCGGTATCAGACGCAATGGCAGCTTTCCATCGCCGTTTTAATTTCGTTCCTGTCACCCGGGAATACAGTTGCTATAAGGTACGCCATCAGGTCGCGAAAGACACGATCGTGACTCGGGCAGCTGGTTTCGTCTGCACATTGAGATGAGACGGATCCTGGACTTGTGTTGAAATTTAGGCTCACATTTGACGCCTAGAACTTCACTGTGCTGTTTTCGCCATTGACTGAAAATACCCTGCACCATTAATAAATAAGCCAAAACCACCTAACAGCAAAGTCCTTCCCATCCATTTCCTTCTTTCCACATCGTCTTTATCTTTCTTCCACCTTTTCCCTCCTCTTCTTTCCACCTCTTTCCTTCGCCGTCTACCTCGGCTCCGGCCGTCGGCATTCCTCTCCCTCTCATACCTGATTCCATTTGGCGGACCGTATCTGACCCGCGCCGCCAGGAGACGACCATCTGACGCTGATGGTCCCGGCACTCCGCGGCCGAGGAGCCATTTCTCCGGCCGTGGACCGCTATCAGAGGGCACTGCCCCTCAGTGCCCCCCCCCCCCCCGCCAGCCCGAGCCAGCGTGGTCCGCCAGTGCCGTCCGTAGTCCGTGCCCGATGCTCCCAGAGAGGGCAAATTGCCTATTTCTCCGCGGAACCTCCCCAATCCGGCTCCGTTTTAGAGTTCGGTGGAAAAATCGATCATATACTGGAAGTTCAGAGCCGCTTTATGTCACCAAATCTGATTGGTAATTTGCGGCTGGGTAGGAAGGTATTTATATCAGTAATATCCCAGGTGCAGGGTCCGTGCTCTCAGCCTTATAACAGCTGGAAAGAGATCGCTGGTTTTTTAATCACCTTCTTAGATCGGGTTTATTACGCATTGTCTATCTTGCTCGCAGCTACTTTCCATTTATCGGTTTTAGATGTCCTCAGTAAACGTGGACTCTGGCTCAACAGTCACCATATCTCTACACTAAGAGTTTGTTTGGGCGAGTTATATCCAAAACGGCCGCTATGCCCAATTGACTGCGATTTATGCTATCGGTCGCCGCTCCGCCCCGGCCGTTAGGAGCCGTATCGGTCTGTTGCGCGCCTGTGCCCCACTCCTATTATCAGGCTATCACCGCGGTATTTCCATCGCCACTGCATAAAAACTCGGACTGACAGCCGGCGGGGCCGCCCAAATGGCCTGGCCACGGCCGTATCGCGGCTACATGACCGGTGCCGTGTGTCGGCGCCGCGCCGGCTGCAGGGCCGGCCGGGCCCGCGGCGGCCGGCGCCCGGCGACTTTGATCAGCTCAGTTTGGAGTCCATGAGCCCCGCCCACGTCACACACCGGCCGACTTTGCTCCTGCCAGTGGCACGAACACCAATCACCTCAGATGGCCATGATGCCTGTCAGTATTGATCGGGCAGCGTGGGCGGACCGCCGACATGGGGCTACGTGGGTGCATTGTTAAGAAAGGTGCCTTGCTTTGTTCAGAAAACGGAATGTGGTATTTGTAGAAAAAAAAGATGCAGGATGCGGAAATGTCAGACGTTGTATCCTCGCTCTCCGGAGGTTGCAAAGGTTCAATTTGTCGGTGCACGCTTTTCGCTAACCTCATCAGTGCTTTCTGCGATCAATCACAGTCGTGTTCTACTCCTTTATTTAGTCACATATTTAATCAAACACTGTCTTTGAAATAAAACGAGCAGCCATTTACCTAACTCCAGTTGTCGAAGTACGCTGGAGAGGCAGTGCTGATGTTTGTGCACTGTGCAAGCGGTGCTTTAAAGCTAACTGCACCAAAAGCAGAACGACCCTATGCTATTGTTTATGCTTGCACATTTGCTACATTGCTACCACCCTCTGAAATTAAGTTTTTTTTTTAATCAAAGATACGGCATTTTGTATTGTAGTCTATATTGTGCTTTATTCTTCCGCCAACGTATCCTTCATAATGTTTTATTGTGTCCACTCTTAATGCGCCATTGAATTATTTGAAGTGGATTGTAAATAAGAAAACAAGAGAGACAAGCGAGAAAGATAAGCGAACGAGCGAGTGGTGAGAGATATGGAGAAAGACAGAGCAACTGAGAGAGAGAGAGAGAGAGAGAGAGAGAGAGAGAGAGAGAGAGAGAGAGAGAGAGAGAGGGAGAGAGAGAAAGGATTAAGAGCGGATCGGTTGTATGTATGTATGTATGTATTTATTTGAACGCCCACAGGTATGACACCCATTTACAGACGCAGTCCGATACTAAAACCTATAAATACATGTGCTCATGGGTTGTCAAATATAGGTACGTATAGTCATGTCAGAGAGATTAAGAAGGCTCTAAGAGACTTCATAAAAGTTCCTCGACTGGCGAATAGGTCCGCAGATGCCACATGCTCGTACATGCCGTTCACTTGTCTCGGTAAGCGACAAAACATTCCGGCCCTTATCGTTTCCACCCTGTGTCGTTGGCCGTGTTGCCGGTGTCGGGGTTGCCGGTGT